CTGTCCCAGCCTCGCCAGCCCCAAATAATACACAGAGACTCTGTATTTGATATTATACTGTTGGCCAGGTACTAGTTTCTTATTGGCTAGCTTTGTCTTAAGTATTAACCCATTTCTGCTGATCTGTGTATTTTCACATGGCCTTCTCTTACCGAGGAGGCAGCTGGCGTCCAGCTCTCTCCAGACTCTCCATCTTGACTCCTCCTTACTACTTCCTATTTCCTCCTTGTCTCTCCTATCTTCCTTTCCTATTGGCCAATGGTGCTTTATTATTAACCAGTATGAGAAACATATACAGAATGACATCTCCCATCAGGATCACAATTGCTTTGGGTGGAATACAGGGCTGTGTTCTGAAATATGTTCTGCCTGGGTCCAAAAGGTTGAAAGAGCTTATTATTCCCCCTTGTTCTCGTTGTTTCTAATAAATCAGGCACACTTTGTATTCTCAATTCTGAAACTTCTTGACTCACTGAAGCAAACAATGTATACCTTTGGCAGATTTCTTTTCCATTTTATGTATTTACAACTTGCCATGACTCTCAAAGCTGTATGTATAAGGTGGTGTTTTTTTTTTTTTTTTGTTTTTTTTGTTTTTTGACAAGTTGCATTAGCAAGTGTCAAGACTAATTTTGGCCCATTAATTTTTGCACTATAATCACCTGTCATCCCATGTTGCAAGTAAGGAATTTGAAAAACAAGGGGTTAATTAACATGCCTCAAGTCACAGGGCTGAGATATGTGCTGTGAAAATGCATGCAGTTTGGTTTCAGAGTCCGGACTTGCAGTGTGGTGCTGTTTCCTGTTTTCATTCCTTATCCCAACATGCTTCTTCATGACACGTAATTCTGGCATTTTGCTCCCCACAGGGTTGTGTCCTCATTGTTCACAGGTCTGTACTTAACAAATAAGTTAATCTAGGCATGGAACTTAGAGACTAATGTCAGGATATGACAGTCTTCTATCCTTTCTGCCAAAGCCTCCATGAGAGATTGATGTTAGCCTACGCTGGCAATGCCAGACCAGTGAGGGTGTTGTATGGATGAGTGCCATACCGGAATGTGACTCTGACTTCAGGAGACTGTCATTTACACACACACACACACACACACACACACACACACACACACACACACACACACACCCCATTTATTATTCTGTGCTAGAAGTGAGGACAAATCTACCTAATATTTCTAGGAAGGTGCAAAAAGATAGTTGATTATCTAAATCTAGATTTTCCCTTCCTGCATGCTCCTTCTGCTTTTTGGCTTTTTGTTTTGAGACAAGATCTCACTCTGCAGCTCTGGCAGTCCTGTAAATCACTCTGTGGACCATGCTGACCTCAAACTCACAGAGATTCACTTGCCTCTGCCTCCTAGCACTGGTGTTAAAGGTGTGGGCCGCTACTCTCAGCTGCCTTTGGGACAGCTGATGTAAAATGAGGGTAACAAGTGATCTACATTTGTGATCACCAGTTGTAGAAGCAGTGTGCTGATTCAGATGACTAAACTTTTAGTAGTGTGACCATGCTGTTCTTCAGGAGCACTGTTCAGATCCCAAGTTCTGCCTATCATTTCATCTTTATCATGTCTCCTTTGATGTCCAATTACAGTACCTTCTCCAATGCTGTGGTTAGAAAAGCATCACAAATATTTTACATAAAAGTCCTAAGACTTGGTATATTTTGTTCTTGAGACATTGAGAAAATTCAAAGCCATTTTGTTTCAATTGTAGAAGTAAAACAAAGTCATTGTATTCTGTCTCATTATGCATTCAGTTGCCTTAATTTAACGTTTAGCAAATATTTCTTTTTCTCCATTCATGTGTGAACTTATTGATTTACTTAACAAATTAATCAGTTGCTTAGTTGATGTACCTCCTCTACTTGCATGATGAGAACAGGATCTTTCTGTCAGAGCTCTGTTTACTATGTAGAGCCTGAAGCTAAGCCCACTTAGAGTGCAGGCAGTGCTTAGTAAACATTGGCTGAATGAATGCATGAATAGTAATAGATACTTCATGATTTAGAAAAAAGTAAATGGAATAGTGCTAGGAATAAACCCTATAATGTTTAAAGTATATTTGCTAGGTGTGTATGTACCTGTAGATAGATGCAGTACTTTTATAATGGCCTGGTGTTGCACAAATGAAAATAATGGCCAGACAAGCTGGAGTGAATGCAAGGCACCCTCAACATCAATGGGAAAGGCTATTTTTCCCTAAAGCATTTTCAAATCATTAAGATCTCTTGATGTTGACTCTAAAGGCACTAGAAAATTGGATGGGCAAACTAGTATTTATTTAGTCTGTCATAATTTAAAACATTAGAAGCGTCAAGAATATTGTGGGTTGTTTCTTCATACCATCTTACCGGGTTAGTGAATGCTTGCCTTTTCACAATTCTGTGTCTTATGGACCAGAAAGTATGTTCTTTTCTCTTGGTAACCATTGGGATGTTATCTAAGTTTGGATCAGCATGTCTTTTTTCAGTCTTTCCTGCTTTGTGTGGCAAGAAGTGGCCTCCTGATTTTCTTTGAGATGGAGTCATTGTTGTATTACAACTACTTTCCTCATGTATGTTGATGAGTTGCCTCCACTAAGTTCCTCCTGCATGTCAGCATTCCCTTTACCTGGATGTCTCTATATACTCATTTGCTTTGGTTCAGCTTTTTCTTCTAACATCGTCTTTTGTTTGTGGACTCCACTTTCATCTTCACTGGCCAATTCCATTTTTTGAATTATCTGTGCCAGATGGATTTCTCATGAGGAGACAAGAAGGAAATATAACCACACACTTTGATGGTGGTGTGTGAATTAAGTCATGAGTGTTCAGTAGCTAGTCACGGATAGACTAAAGAAATTCTGTGATTGGCTAATGATCAAAACCCCCATTCGTTAATTATGCAGTGACTCATGGATAGAAGAGCTAGGAGCAAGGTTTCTACTTAATGCAAGAACAAGTGGATATACTGTTTTAACTGAACTGTGAACTGTTCAGGGACTCGTGTCATTTAACTAGACTGTAGAAACTGTAATGCATGCATGATGGCATGAGCAAAATTGAGCTGCCTAAACCTTAGGCCTTCTCTTGTAACATACATTTAAAAACAAAACAAAAAAAACTAAAGTCAGATCACTAAATGCTGGACTTTCTGTTTCGAGTAGACTTGCTGGTCAGCACCCCCCTACCCCCACCCTGCCCAAGTATTTTCCTGTCTTCACATACCAGCACTGGAGTTACAGATGTGTACATCTTCACATACCAGCGTTGGAGTTACAGATGTGTACATCTTCACATACCAGTGCTGGAGTACAGATGTGTACATCTTCACATACCAGTGCTGGAGTTACAGATGTGTGCTGCCACACCCAGCTTTTTAGATGGGTGTTGGAGATCCAGACTCAGTTCCTCAAGCTTGTGCAGCAAGAACCTGAGCCACTGAACTGTTTCCCTAGCCTCTCTTTTTTTCTAATGCAAAGAAATTGAAATGCAGATCCCAAGCATGCTAAGCAAGAATTCTATACTTAAGTCACATCTACAGCACCTTCCACGCCATAGTTTATGCCTACACAGTAATTTGTTGTATATTTGTATCATGCTTTATTTAACTGATCTTTTTACTTGATATTTAGGATTTAAATTTTTTCTCAATTATAAACAATACAATCAATTTTATATATTAAAATCTTTGCAATAACATGTTTTTAAGAGAGTGTAATTTTAGTAGAATAACTTCTGGCTTATAAAAATATACTTTCAAAACTTTTTATATACTTGTAAATTTCTCTTTAGAGAGTATTTTGTTCATGGTTCTACCAGCATGAGATTCTGGAGATGTGATTGTATGACTCCTAAATACTGGGGAATGTCATTCTTTTTCCACCATTTCTATTTTAATAGATAAAGAGTATATTTTGTTTAATAATTAACTTTTATTACTGGGTTGACTACTTGTGAATTTTTTTGGTAATTATATTTAATTGTAACTATCTTAGTTTGGCCAGCATTTCTATAGATTTCAGATGTTTTTCTAGGTTCTTTGACATGTATATTTCTGCATATATATACATATACATATATATGTATATACACACACACATATATGTGTACACGCACATATGCTTATCTTTGTATAATATATATCAGATTTGCTCTCACATGGATTTGCCATTCCATTCTTGGTTTTAATCAGGCATATGGAAGTGTATATGAGCCTTAGTTTTGCAATGTGACCTCCAAGTGCTTGCTCTTCTTTCTTTCTCTTTAAAGAGAATAACCCGCAATCTGGGTGAAATTCTAGTTAATTTTTCATTACATGATTTCAGGAGACAGGGTCAAAAGGAGCTAGTAGTCCATTCAATTATGTGCTTAAGTGTGTTGGAAATGTTTTTTTTCCCCTCCCTCAGGTGTACAATATTTTACTTGGTCTTGTTTTTCAAGTGCATTTGAGTGTGACTAAACATTTTTGGATATTGCCATTAAGTAAAGAAGAGACCCATCTTGTTAAATATTCCTTCATCAGCTTTACAGTTACCCAGTCACAAGCAGTGAAGGACCTGTGAGGGCAGGGGGAGGGCAGGTGGTGGGCCTGAGGAATCTCAGGATTGGGGTGCTCTGTTGTCCCTCCCATTGTTACTTGAAGAAGTGATTGGTTCAAACTGATTTCTGTCTCACAATTTTGGATAGGTCATAAGTGAGGAGGAGGGGAAGTCATGAGGTTGAACCTCAGCTTTTTTGAGAGGTCAAGGTTCTTTCTCATAAACCACACAAGACTAGACTGCTGTCCTTTTGGAAAGGGTGGAGAACTGAGATATAGCTTGGCTTACAGAGTAGAGAGAGGCTTTGCTTTCTCTTTGACTTTGAGGCTGAAGATAAAGGATGTCTACTGAAATTGTGGAAGGGAAGCCCAATAATCTTGGGGAGAGAGGAAGAGCTCGAAGCTACACTTTCCTCAGGGTTTTCCAGCCAATGTTTAACCGCAGTATTTTCACTTCTGCAGTCTCTCCTGCCGCAGAACGCATCCGATTCATCTTGGGAGAGGAAGATGACAGTCCAGCGCCGCCTCAGCTCTTCACTGAACTCGATGAGCTGCTGGCTGTGGATGGACAGGAGATGGAATGGAAGGAGACAGCGAGGTGAGGCATGGCTGATTGAATGCAGCACTCGACTGGGGAAGCAAGTGTAGGGCAAATAAATGAGCCTTGAGTGCTGCCTTCTCTGGCTTTAGCATCAGGTGGTTGATGGGTATGATGCCAGGTTAAGTGATGGGTAATTCTCTTCCTTCTGTCCTTGTACATTAATGTGGATGCAGATTACCTCTTATTCACTTCTGGAGCATAATTTATTAACCAGCACTGTAGGAATTTGACTTTTGTTGACAAAGAAGTCAATCTTAATTTGTAGGCTATTTAATGGTAAAATATAAGGGCAATAATAAACTCTAGCACCCCAAGGCTATGGCCAAGAAACATTCCTATACATCTCTACATGAGGTCATATCTTGTGGGATTCTTCATGACATTGTCTATTCCCAGATAGAAGGGATACAGGGGAGAAAATCAAGGCTCTCAGATAAAGATGGTATAATTTCAAGCAAAGACCCCATTATCTTCTAAATTTTCAGCTGAAAGAAAGTAGAAGGTTCATCTGGATGTGGAAGTTAGATCCCTCAGCTTAATTCTGTACTCTGCCCCATTACACGACCCTGTTTCTTAATAGAGTGAATAATAGCACTTACTACATGTAATTTGCATGTAGGCATATAAAATACATGCTATATAGATATAATATGTGACATGTGCAATCATAACTTGAATATTTGTATGGACATGATTTGCAAATTGTTCAATGCTTTGTATGTTTCTGAGGTTTTAGGAGTCACAACAGAGATTTGATTTCATAGAGATTTAGTTATATATTCCAGACTAAATCTCCATCAATGTGTAGTAACTCTCTGCAGCATCCTGCACCTTGAATCTGTAAAGCATCCCCTAGAAGGAGGATACTGAAGCAAAGGCTCTTTCTTTCTAGCCATTTCTGTTTGTTCCTTTCTTTCTTGGAGTGAGGCTCACACTTTTACAGGTGGAGAAGTCTTCATCTGCAGTTGGCTTTGCTGTCCATTAGTTAGCTCAGCACAGTTGGTAGTCTTCCTGAGCCCCAGTTTCCTAGTTTGCCAAGAGAGCGTCTTCCTGGATTCCCTCTTCTCTATTTTCTTGCTCTAAAATGTCCTTCCTCTCTGTGTGTTGGTTTAGTCAGCAGTGCCTCTAATGGCTTCTTTGGTTCTCCGTTTCATGTTGAACTATTTGTTAATAGTTACCATTGACGAGAACACAAGAATGGCTTTGTTCTTTGTTTCTTGTCAAATGTTGGCTTACCCATTAATTTACATGACCCCTGGTCTCAATAAAGTGAAATAAAAAAAGACATTTCACTGAGTAGGCAACTCAATGTTGAATGAAATAGTTATTGTATTTCAACTTTTGATTAATTTTGGTTCAGGGAGGATACCAGGTATCCTCTGTAGTTCAGGTTGGTGATTCCTCTGTCCTAGTCCATTCAGTACTGAGATTACAGTGTTGAGTTATGATACTTGGTCATATGGGATTCTGAAGAAAAAGATGGCTTTACATTCTTTATCGTCTTTAAAGTAATTTTAGGCAAGTTATGTACCATTTTGGTGATGTGATCCTAGAGAAACTTTGGATAACTTCTTCTATTTAGGGATCATTATGATTATTTATAATTGCATTTCTGTTATTGCTTTCCTTATTGCATGAATTCATTCAAAGTCAGAGATCACCCTGTCCTGTCGACTGTAGCATTATCCTAGATTTGAAAGTACTTGATTCATAGAATCTGCTTGTAAATATGTGTTGAATATTTGACTAGTGGAGAATAGATAGCTTTAAAAATAACTATTCTTTTGAGATTTTTAGTTAGCATACAAATTAATAGTGTTTATTATGACATCTCCATACTCATATATAATTGTATTTAAGAGAAAAATAAGTGTTTTGAACATAATAGTTACATCTCTTTCTGCTAAGGTCTGACAGACTCAAGTTACCTAATACATCTATGCTCAAGGGAGGCCCCATACTTCAAAGTTTATAAAATTTTATCAATATACTGATGGCATCTGGATTTATATCTCTAGACTTCCTTATTTAATTGACATTGAGGAATTGGAGGGCTATTAGCACTCATATTATTAATACACACAGACCTGCTCCTCCTACAGATTTCTCCATCTCAATACATAATTTCATTCTCTTGGATACTTTGGCCAGAACACCAGGGTCTTCCTTATCTACTGTTTCACTCATTCCTGTTTCCCAATTAATTGACTCATCTGACTTCACTTCTGAGATACTCAGATATTTGAGCATCTCACCACATTTCCTGTTCAGTACTGCTTCAGGCCTCGTTCCAGTTCTGCAAAACCCTCCAATTAGCTGGTTTCCTTATACCTGCCTTTATTTTGGTTTTAAACTATCTACCCTGGGGTACTCGAGTAGCCTTCTGTTTCTTTTTTTTTCTAGTTGAGCCTCCTGGAGCCCCAGGGGCCAGTTGTATTACTCTCCGAGGGACTCTATACTTGCTCCCTCTTTGTATCTGTGTACGCCACAGTTATCTACACTACCTGCTTGCTTACCTCTTTCAGGATGTTATTCATATATTACCTGGCTTCTGAGCTCAAAGAATTGCCTATACCTCCTGTCCCAGATCCTCTATTATGTTTTTGACCGTTGCACTCATTGTCACTTAATGTATTATCTACCTTGCTATTATGTCTTCCTAATGGAGTTAAATCTCTGAGAGGGCAGGGATTTTCACTTTCTTGTTCTGCATCCTATTCTTTATGCCCAGAACTCTCTGCTGCACAGCCATACTCCAGGAACAGGGTGTGCAGAGAATTGAAATCTTGTTTCTGAGTGTGCTGTCCCATCTGAATTCTGTGGAGAGCTTTGGCAGTGATTTTGCTTCTGGGAATATTTAGATCTCCAGTAATCTGTACTTCTTGTGACACACACTGCGTCAGAATGTTTCTGTAGTGATGTCTGACTTTCATTTCTGATGTGCATTTTCCAGCCACAATAAAATGTCCAACCTCCTATTAAAAGGCCTCAAACCTCCCAGATGAATACAATTTAAGTGCCTAGAAGAGAGTCATTTCATATGTGATGATGTGGCATGAATAATTTTTTTTCTAGCTGACAAAATATGTTTGACATTGTTTTTTCTTTCCTGTGAAAATTCCAGTTAATAGATTTTTTTCCAGGACTGTGTGTGGCAAGGTGATGGGAACCCAGGGTCTCATATATGTTAAGCAAGGGACTTACCACTGAGTTATGCATTCTTCTAAGCACTGACGGCAGGTATACAGTCTTATTTCAAAGAAAGCTAACTGTCTAGACTTTTCACACTAGTTGTAGTTTCTAGTGTGGGCCTACACACCACAGAACAAATCCCATTCTTTTTTCCTATTTTAGGTTTTGTACTTTTCAGTTGGCTAATGATTGTATTTAACTAAGAATATTCTACAGCAAGCCTTGGCATTACTGTGATTTGAGTCCCACTTTAGGAATTTTAGATTGGTCCTACTCTTCAAATAATGAAAATGTTTTCAGAATAGAGAAGATGGCCCCTTTGAGTCTGAGAAGGTAGAGTAGTTACGAGACATTAGCAGCAAGAGAAGCCTTTACTAATATGGGGTTTAAAGTGGCAGTCAGCTCTGTGCCTTCCTTTTCACATTTCCTCCCCATTTTGTCTTTCCTAGAAGGTAGGGTAGAACTTTGACATCTTTAGTGGATTTTCCAAAATAGTGCACAAGCTGAAGAGTTCTCATGTTTGAAAAGTATGATTGACCGATGGAGGCACAGTGTTACCTTTGGAAAGTGTAGTCATTAGAAAAAAAATAACGTTGGGTACGACTGCAGTAATTAAGATGGGACCACTTGGAATGGTGAAGAAGTCTATTCTCCTCATCAAAAATCCATTAAGCTGGGCTTGGTGGCCCATGGCTATAACCCTAGCACTGGAGGTGTGGAGTCAAGAGAGTTATTAGAGGTTCATGACTATGTAGTAAGTTTGAGGCCAGCCTGGAATAAATGAGATCCTCTCATAAAACAAAATAAAACAAAAACAGAACAGCAATCAAAACAAAACAGGAACCTGTTAGAATCAGTTCACAGGTGAACGAAGTAGACAGGTTAAGGAATAGCTCCTAGTCTTGCTTTGATGATGGCCCAAAATCATGAGGAAGGGACAGACTTTTCACTCTTCTTACATTTGAGTTGAGTTAGGATTAGCTTTTGTAAAGTGATTTCCTCATTTTCAGTTTGTCCTCAGTGAGTTGTCAGTGGCCAGTGCTGAACAGCTGAACAACAGATTGGTGAATCTGGCATGTTTATAAATTAAAAATCATCTACTCTGTGTAATCCATCCTGCACTGGCAAACCTGGTCAGAAAGCAAACCCTCACAAGTTCTCAGAAACATTAGCCAATAGAGGAAAAGGGCATCGTTGTGTCATGTCCAGGAATACAACGCAAACTAATGTTTATTTGTGTTTCTGTTGGGCATGCTGACCCAGCTCACCTCTGGGGAACCTCTTTTAAGGTCATGGTCACAGAATAGCAGCGTGCACCTTACACTGTGAGTTTGTCATCTCCACAGCTCACAGGTTTCTTTTCTTTTCTTTTCTTTTTTTTTTTTTTTTTTTTTTACTTTCTATAGCAGATGGCTCTGGGAAAATCCTTGTTGGACCATTTTTTTTTTCCCTTAAAAAGATGATTTAGGGAATCCAATTATATATGTAATTAGATATCATTATATTTAGATAATTATTTGTACTTTGCACAGTTGATCTAGAAATTTATGAATTCTCCTAATATAGCATTTATCCCAGGTATATACTAGCATTGACTTCTTTTATGTGTGATATAGCATTTTTTAAATTAGCAAGTAATTCATTATTATTATATCAGTAGTTTTACACAGTTGGATTATATTCTAGTGCAAAGGTCATGAGGATTTTTCACCATGAAACTGGCAGGTTTTAAAGTTAGAGGTCTTTCTTTACTTAATTATATTTAATCATATGATTGGAAAGTTGCAAAACTCAGTGATTCCCAGTGGGTCTTCTGTTTCAACAAACGAGTGAAATGCTCTTTGGTTGGCAGCCACTCAAAGTACATTACACTGCAGAGTACTTTATCATTATTCTTCTAAGACCTTGGAATAAGTAAAATTCACCTCATAAACTGCTCCTTCAAGGGTACAATAGTTTTGTAATTGCGTGCATTTAAAAAGGCAACTTCTAAAATTAATTTTCCTGTAGCATGTCACGTACTGAACAAGAGAGGGGAAAAAAAAAGTCAGAAACCCATTACAACTGTGTGGCTATTCATAGTGATTGTGGATGGTAGATCGTGGCTTTCAGTGAAAGTGTCTTGTTTTTAAAAACATAATTACATGGGTCTAAAGCACCTTTGCAAAATGTCTGGTACTTGGATAGTCTGAACTTTGGTCTTTCTGCCTTAGCCTTCCTTTTAATGGATGTTGATTTGAATTGAGGAGTGTTGACTCTTTGTTTTTCAAGTTTGTCCTTGATGTGAGAGACAGAGCATGCACCCTTTCTAGGATGAAACTGTCTACAGTCAATTTAAATGGGAAAATTGGTATAACCATTTCTTGAACAATTAGAGCAATAGATTCGTTTGATAGACATTGTGCCAGTTCCTGTATGCTGTTAGTTGTGTGTTATGTAGTCATCATAGCATTCAATATTTATGGAAGCTGGTGTGAAATCATTGCTAAAATGAGCCAACAGATCATATACATACATCTCTTAGGAATAGAACTGTAAATAGTGGGTTATCTTGTGGTAATCTTGATCTGCAGTTTGATGTGATTCATTGAGGTGAGCAATGCTCTTTTGAAAGTCTAGCCTAGCTGGAATTGATTTCTCATTGCTCTGCTTTAAGCCAGTAAGTTACCTGCAATTATAAGCTAGAGAGGAATAAATAAATGACAGGCCAGGGGAGAGTCAGTGAATTTGCTCCTTTTTGAAAGTTTTATCAAGCTTGTATTACTTAGTTAATTGAGGGTGGTTTTAGCCTCTTCAGGCTGCAGTGACAGAATGATGTAGACTAAATATCTTTCACATTGTAGAAACTTAGTTCTCATTGTTGTGCAGTGTGGGAAATTTAAGATTAAGGGCTTTGCAGATTTGGTGTGTGATAGGGCCCATGTGCTCCTGACTCCTTCCTGGGCTCTAGAATTTTAGCATACAAATCTGGGGTTGATGGCTCTATTCATAGTCCTAGCACTTGGGAAACCAAGGCAGGGTGGCTGTCATGAGTTCAAGGTAGCACTATGAGAAAGAATATCTTGAAAAATCAATAACAACCACACCCAAAACCAAATCTCTCTCTCTCTCTCTCTCATCTATCTATCTATCTATCTATCTATCTATCTATCTATCTATCTATCTATCTATCATCTATCATCTATCGTGTGTGTGAGGGGGAAGTCAGGGGATAATTTTTGTGAGTTGGTTTTCTCCTTTCACCAAGGGTTCTAGGTCATCAAATTCAAGTTGTCAGGCTAGCAGAACAAGTACTTTTACCTGCTGAGCCATTTCATAAGCCCAACACAAGATTTTAGAACATTTCAAGTACGACACTATACCACACCACACCACACCACACCACACCACACCACACCACACCACACCACACCACACCACACCACACCACACCCAAATGAAACAAAACAAAACAAATCTCAGTCTCCAAGATTTCAACATTTTAAAGAACTCAACAATCGGGCTTTATCAGGTAATGGCAGAAAACAGTCACTGCTACAGACAAGTCTTGCTTATTCTCTTTCAGGGTATAAGGTTAGCAATGCAGATTGATAGCAACTGATGGACGGGAACTCAGTTAAGAAAGATAAGGGGGGATTTCTCTTCCGGTCCCAGGCACTTTGGGTGCCGCCGGATACCGTTCAGATACGGCCAAGTCCAAGAACCACACCACACACTACCAGTCCCGGAAATGGCACAGAAATGGCATCAAGAAACCCTGATCGCAAAGATATGAATCTCTTAAGGGGTTGACCCCAAGTTCCTGAGGAACATGCGATTTGCCAAGAAACACAAGAAAGGCCTGAAGAAGATGCAGGCAAACAACGCCAAGGCAATGAGTGCACGCACAGAGGCCATCAAGGCTCTTGTGAAGCCCAAGGTGGTAAAACTCAAGATGCCAAAGGGTCCTGGCTGCAAACTCAGCCGTCTGGCTTTCATCGCTCACCCCAAGTTTGGGAAGATTAGAAGCTACATGGCCAAGGGTCATAGACTCTGCTAACCAAAGCCCAATGTTCAAACCAAGGCAGAGGCCTCGGCTCCATCTAAGGCCCAAGCTGCAGCTCCAGCTCAGGCTCCCAAAGGCGCCAAGGCCCCATAGAAATGGTTTCTGCCACTGTGAAGACAGATGGACTGGTGTGACACATCTACACACTATCTGCAATCAACCTGTGCCCTAATGCTCTTTTTTACAAATAAACTTGAGGCAAGATCTGTTAAAAAAAAAAAAAAGAAAAAGAAAAAGAAAGATAAGGGGGAAATTAAACCTGTTTGAAACATTACACATTAAAGTTTCTACTTCACGTATGCCATTTACCTTGGGCTTAAATTCTGTAATCAAAGAGTACAATATAGAAGGCCTATTTCTAGGTAGCGCTCACCTGAAACACACACACACACACACACACACACACACACACACACACACAGAGGAGAGATGGGGGAAGGACACTTCTACTTCCTGGTGTTTGATCTTAAGGTAAAAATTAAGACACATATAAGAAAATGGTTCATATAACATCTACCACAGTATGTTTAAAGATTCTGCGAGCAAGCAGGAAAAGATGTTACTCAAAGTTAACAGCATTATAATAATCATGATTATTTTTGAAGTAACCCAGTTACCTTAATTGCTTTTTATTATTTTTGTTATGGCCGTAAAATACAGTAAATGTGTGATGTAAAATTATCATTTTCTCCTAGCTCCTTCTATGTCTCTGGAAAATAATTCCAACCAAAGAGGAAGAAAATGTTACTTCAGACACATACACGCATGGGGAGGGAGAAAAATAGATGTTTCTCATTCTGTTTTGGGATATGTTTCAACTATTATAGCAATAACCTGTGTCCAGTTTTGAAGATTTAGAATCTCTTTGGTGGTGCTACTGAATGTTAATTTTTAAAATTATTTTAAGAATTTCACACTTGAGTACTATATTTTCATCCTTTCTCCCTCCCCCTTTCCTCCTTCCAACTATTCCAGTATCTTCCCTACTCCCTCTCAACTTCATGACCCTTTTCTGTATGCATTACCCTACTGAGTCCATTTAGCTTTGCTCACATGTGCATGTTTAGAGCTGACCAATCCCAAGTGGCTTTTAAACTCTAGAGATAAAAAGGCAAACATTTAAAAGTTAAGGCCACTTGCTGTTTTGGTTGGTGAATACCAACCAAAGGAGTATTATAGAGTAATGGAGACTCGGATAGCTGAGAGGGTGGTAATAGAAGTTACCATTGACATGTAGGGTTGCCTGGCTTTGAGAGGCTTCCTGGGAGGAGTGTGGTGGGATAAGGTAAAATACTTATGAGTCAGATGAGTGTCAGGAGTGATAAACATCCTGAACTCTTCTTCGAGACAGTGGTTGATGTCTTGATCTGTTTCATATGTAGTCCTCTTAGTGAGTTTCTTCCCCTCTCTGGGGGTTGTCAAGAGTTCTATAAATAATACCTTCTGTAGAGTTTCCTATGACCCCTGCCCTTTGTTCTCATCTGCAGGGAGATAGGTGAGTGTTTAGCTTATTCTAGGAAAATGTTTTTCAATCATTAAACCCTTGGGTAAAAAAATGTAGGAAAACAAAGTTTAACCCCATCGTTACCATTCCAACATCATTCAGATGGTGATATCAGTAATGAGGCATCCTATTTCCTTTAGGTGCTTAGGAGAGTCTGTATGATAGGACACTTGCATTATAAAGGCTTCCAAATGTGTTCTTTTTCCCTCAACCTTAAAAAACAAATGTCTTTGCTTTCTATTTCAAAATGTCGACTTATCTTAGAAAGCAGAAGCTGTTGATGAGGGCTGTTTGTCCCAGTGCAAAGGTTACTAGAGGATGTATCGTCATCACAGTTGAGTCTGTGACCCACTGGGCTTGCTCATTTTAAACAAGTGGAGCCTGTATTCAAGGGTAAAATCACTGTTAGCATCTCATCAAGAGTGACATGACAGCCGAGACAGGGACATCCAATGAAGACATGACAAAACGTAGTCCTGTTAAGCACAAACCACTAGACATGTTCCATTAAAGATAAATATTAGTTCATTGTTTCTCCTTCATCTTACATAAACCTACTTTGTAAGGTCCCAACAGAATATCCACAGTGGTGCTAGCTTTATAATTACAGGATCAACTTACATGGGAAATTTCGAGATTTTTTTTTCTCATCTAAAAACCACCTATCTAACCATTCCTAGGGATTTCATGGTCACAAGGCATGGGTGCTTTGACTTCATTTGGTTCACTTTTTCTTAAGAGAAGGAGTGGTCTTGTGACTACATGTATTCCTGGAGATGACAGTAAACTATTAATACTGCATGAGAGGAGACATTATGGAAGTGCTGGTCCTGGTCCTGGGCATGGGCATGGGCATGGGCATGGGCATGGGCAGGGATTGGTGTTGCCTTCACAGAAGGTTGCATTTCTTTAATTCTCATCTTCCTAGGTGGATTAAGTTTGAAGAAAAAGTGGAGCAGGGTGGAGAACGATGGAGCAAACCCCATGTGGCCACACTGTCCCTGCACAGCTTGTTCGAGCTGAGGACCTGTATGGAGAAAGGCTCCATCATGCTTGACCGGGAGGCGTCTTCTCTCCCACAGCTGGTGGGTGAGTATGCCGTTTCTGCTTTCTCTTCCTGTTCATCAATATCCTTCCATGCAGATGCCTACTAGGGTAAGCAGGGTTGGATATCCTCTGTAACACTTGTGCTTAGAGTTCTGTCATGAAATGAACAATTTGTGAAAAATTTGACAAATATTAATAAAAGTAGCGTTAAGAAATAGCGGCCATCTCTGGTTATGGTTATTATTATTACTTTGGAATATTTTCTTCCAGATTTGTTTGCCAGCCTCCTACTTTGTGCCTTTCTTTTGTCCTCCATTTTTTGTTACATTTAACGTGCATGAACATATTAATTTTTAACTTACTAGCAGAATTAACATTTTTTTTGTATATAGATGTGTGTGTGTGGGTTCATACGCATACATATGGGTGGATGGCTGTGTGTGCTCCTGTGCATGAATGTATGTGTGAATATTCCTGTGGATGCTAGTGGTAAACCTTGGTTTCATTTCTCAGGAACCCCTCTTGTTTTTTTGTGACAGCATCTCTCCTTGGGCTGGAGCTCACTGAGTAGACTAGGAAGATTGGCCAATGAGCCACAGTGATTCACCTGTCTTTGTTGTCTAGGGCTGGTATTATACATATATGCCTGAAGTTTTCTTTTTTTTTTTTAAACACCAGAGTTCTTGGGATTGAACACAGGTTCTCATACTTGCACGATAGCATGATAATTACTTACTTATTGAGGCATTACATCATCCTAGTTTAATATTCTGGAAAGAGAGTCCTCTCACCCTCCTCTTTCAATTGGCTGTCTGGACACTAGGTTTTTTTTTTTTTTAAGAACTCTTTGACCCTAGATGTTTCACTGAGATTTTCTGCACTCAGTTTTGTTGTCTTCAAAAGGGCATTTACATCTTATGGAAGAATAGAAATCCTCTGCTTCCTGGGCTGGTGTGATGAGAGTTGGATGTCAAGTCATGTAGCTGTGTGTGAATAAATGTTGTGGGGCAAGATGGCCATCAGGACCTTATGAGCAAGTTACTGAGTCAGGTTTCTTTGGAAAAGAGTTGTCATTCATATCACCGGAACTTGTGGAATGCCCCTGTGTGAAATTTCACCATTTATTCCTTCCTTTAAGTGTATGTTTTACTCTGTTTCAAAAAAAAAAAAAATCTCTGGAAGGAGTTACATATTTTTTCCGTGTGATACTGTTTTTATAGAAAGGATTCTAGGATCACAGTGGGATGACAGTCTTCCTCTGCTAGTATGGATGATCATGGCCAAAACACATTACTTACCACTCTTGGAGACTTGGTTTCCTCATCTGTGAAAGTAGTATTAAGGTGCACACCTGAGTTTCCTTTCCTGATGCTATGATAAAATACCTTGATGTACTCGACTTAGGGGAGAAAGGTTTATTTTAACTCGTGATTTCAGGCTATAGTCCATCATAGCTGCAAAGTCACAAAGGCAGCATCCTTTGAGAACTACTCACATCACATCTGTCTGCATGGAAAGAGAGCAGGGAAGGCATTGGTGCTTCAGCTCAGCTTGCCTTCTTTTGTCTAGTTTGGACCCAAATCCTCAGAATGCTGCTGTCTGCCTTTAGGCTGGGTCTTGTCACACTTGTGAATGTAGTAGAAACTGTCTCCCACAGACATGATGGCCACACCCTCATCTAATCTGGGTGGTCCCTGCCAGAGATGCCCATTCCAGGTGATTCTAGACTGTGTCCGGTTGGCAGTGTACCTTTCAGAGTTGTTAGGAGAATTAAGTAAGGTCACCAGCCCTGCTGGGCTCATACTGTCCCTCAGTAGAGTTAGCTACCTAGATTTTCCTACTTGTCACATACCAGACCTCTACTTGAAGTCTGATTTGAGTCTGGAAGGTTGATGCTTGGGGATTTCATGCACACAAGGAAAAATTCCAAAAAGTATGGACTGAAGAGATCGAAGTAGTATTCATTCATTCATTTATTCATCTATTTGCTAGTTTGTTTTTTTATATTCATATTTTTGCTGGTCTTGGAGCTGATCAACAGGGTGATAAGTTTCCTTTTCTGCAAAGCTATCTTTGTGGTCTTTAGTTCCAGACTGTCCTACCTTAAAGAGTTTCTGATTTCTAGCAACTCCTTGACTCTCTGTACATAGCAGAAGACAGAGTCCCACACCCCCTTTAGCCAATGGCCAAACACAGAAGATCTGACATCTACTATATTTAAAAAAGATTAATTGAGCATTTGATGTTCTTGCTTAATTTCCCATAACATTTTATTGTTGGCTTCACACTCTTTTCCAACCTCCATGCATTTGCTTTAAACATTGTCATTTCATGTTAAAATTAGATACCACTAGGTCACTTTGAGGTATCATCACTCACTAATATGTTTGCTCTGCAGTCCCTGGGGCAAGGAGGCAAAGTGCCTGTGCTATCATTCTGGTACTGATAATACAGAAAAAAGCAGTTCAGAGGCAAACCACATATCATGAGCAAAACAAAGGGAGGAAAAAAGGCCAGCATGGCAGAAGAAAAAACAGAGCTTGCTTAAAGGAGTGCAACCCAATAAAGAAACAAAAATCCTCCAAGGGAAAAAAAAACCCATGGAGAATAAAACATGAGCAGTTCAAAGCCTTTATTTCATTTTAAATGACAGAAGACAGTGCAGTAATTTGAAGAGTTACATTGATTATTTTGTTATTCAGAAAATCTTTTCCTAGCAGAGAATGAAGTAGAGTTGCTATGTCCTGCATATACCAGGACATACGATAGCTACAGGCTCCTAAATCACATGTTGTGTTTCCTCCCAGTAGCCCAATTTTACTTTAGAAAATGGGAAGAAAGAGAAATAATAGCAAATGCAATCATCTCAACAAACAATAGGATGATTTTCTGACATCTTGCTGGTCCACCTCCTATTATTTCTCCTCATCTGCCCCTGAGAGGAAGATCACTACAGGTCACAAGCAATGGCATGGAGATGGATAGAGTATGAACTGTGGGCAATTGTCATGCTTACATTAAAATTAGCTTACTTCTGATTCTTTTCAGGGCCTCTGTACTTTGTGTGTGTGTGTGTGTGTGTGTGTGTGTGTGTGAGAGAGAGAGAGAGAGAGAGAGAGAGATCCCTACTGTATTTTAATAGAAAAATTTGTCTTTGAATCATTACAGAAGACAAGACATAATTTTCAGGCATTATTTTAATAGGTTTATTATTAGCATCACCATTGTAATCCTACATGTAAAGGGTGTCATTCACACACGAAGTCAAGTTCATGGAATTTTCTTTCACTCTTAAGTTTAAAAAAAGCAGTAATCCATTTCATGTATTTAGCACAATGTGAAATGGATGAGAAATAAGTAGCTCTATTTTTGGAACATATCTATATATCTATCTATATATGCTCTCTGAGCTCTGGTTGACTGTAGATATGTGAGTCCTGATGTTTATTGATTTTCTTTTCTTAAAAGCATCCTTTCTTTTATACTTTCAAAATTTATGTTTATTATTCTTTATAATCATAAGATTAATATATGCTCATTTAAAATAAGTCATAAAAATTTTACTCTAGAAATAAAATCATCCCTAATTTTACCACAAAAGTGAAACATTCCCTAATCTAATTTTGTCTATCATCTCACCATTTTTTCTATGTAACTCTGTTTATACATGTGAAATGGAATTACAGTACCTTTTCACAAAATGGAATTACAGTACGTGTGTGTGTGTGTGTATGTGCTGCATGTGAGTATGTGAGGATGTGTGTGTACACACAGCTGGAAACTAGGGTTGTGTGTCTTATTCATCGATCTCGGTCTTATGCCTTGAGACAAGCTTCCTTGCTGAACCTGAAGATTTCCATATCTGAATGATCTAGGATGGATGGCTAGTGAGCTCACAAGGTCTGTCTGTGTCTGCCTTGGAATGCTAGGGTTATAGACATGCACAGTCATACTAGGTTTCTTACCTGGGTACCAGGACTTGAACTCAGGTTCTTGTGCTTGCAGATCAAGCACTCTCTCTCTCTCTCTTTTTTTTTTTTTTGATTACTAATTGTGTATTGAAAGCAGTAAGAGGTTCCACAACACCAAATAAACCAGTTCTGAGATTTGCCCAAGATAAATTTAACAGCTCCAGCTTCTATAGTGTTTATCAAAATACAAAAGAAAAAAGTAGAGGTCATCTTTCGATGGCAAATCGGACCCTTGCAGGCTGAGGGAGAAAGCTACTTCACACATGGAGATGGGGTGCTCCAGGATGTGGGTCTGGAATGGATCGACCCTCCCAGCTTGCACACGGTCTTGCTGGTGAGACCCAGGCCTCCTGCCAGCGCGTCCAAGTGGGCCCAAGAGTAAGCTGGGTATGTAGACTGCCATCCGGCCCGGCCACACACCAAATCCAAGCCAGGCCCTGCACCCCACAATGGCTCCCAGCCAACCCCTAGGTGACCATGTGAGCACAAGTATAATCACGATGCTATGGAATGCAGGTGACCCAAAGACAGGCGAGTCACGGGGGCTCTACTGTGACCATGCAGCGGATGGTGGTTTGTCACCTTCTCTCCTGTTTCCCATAGGGGAACAGGTAATCCGATGGACTAACATTCAGGCCATTACTGCAAAACCTACACTAGGCATAGTCTTCGTTCTGTGTGTTCAAGTGTTCTTGACCTGTATTTTTGTTAAAAACTATTTTTAAAAAATGCACTGAGTTTGGGTTAAAAACCAAGCACCAAATGGATACTGACACCACTCTACAGCCCAATGGCTCCGGGAGGCCAGGTGCCCCTACACCCAAATCCCTTCTCAGTACTGACAGTGAGTTGATTCTCTTTTTACAATAAAAAAAGCTAAGTAATATTGCATAGGAGTACCAGAGACTGCCTCAGTGGAAACAGAAACTATTTACATTAAATAAAAACCTGGCTGCAGGCTGCGTCTGCACATGTACAGCACGGTGCGATGCACACTGTGACCAACCCATGGAGACAGCTTCTGGCGCTTAGGACCACAGAGTGGCACGTTTGCCACATGAGAGGAAAGCGGAGGGCAGAGAAGAGGAAGTGAGGGGGAGGGAGGGGTCTGGTTCACTTCTGGTTCTGGAGCTGATTGGACAGCCAGTCTAGTCCTTCATAGAGCCCGTCCCTGCTGGTGGCACAGGTGGCCTGAATGTACCAGTTCCTGTGGCATAGAGAGTGCAGCCCCAGCTTGTCTGTGATTTCGGCCCCATTCATGGCATTGGGGAGGTTCTGCTTGTTGGCAAACACCAAGAGAATAGCATCCCAGAGCTCATCTTCAGCTAGCATCCTCATGAGCTCTTCACGGGCCTCATTCACATGCTCTCTATCATTGCTGTCCAGTCCACTGCGAAGATCAAGCCTTGGGTGTTCTGGAAGTAATGGCGCCACAGCGGCCGGATCTTGTCCTGACCGCCCACATCCCACACGGTGAAGCTGATATTCTTGTACTCAACTGTCTCCACATTGAAACCAATGGTGGGAATCGTGGTCACAATTTCACCCAGCTTCAGTTTGTATAGAATTATTGTCTTCCCTGCAGCATCCAGGCCCACCATGAGAATGTGCATTTCTTTTTTTTGCCAAAAAGGCCCTTGAAGAGGTTTGCAAAGATATTCCCCATGCTTGTGGACAGGTGGAAGCGATACTGGCCAGAGACCTCCGAGGCAGCTGCTCCCAGCCAGGCGTTGGTTTCGCTCCCACAAGATCCAGATCAAGCACTCTTATCAGCTGAACCATTTCTTCAATCCCGTGGTTCATCATTTTAATTTGTATTTGCTTAAAGATAGAAATATAGATATCAATATTTTCCTGTTGTTCTATAAATAAAACACAATAGCTGTAAAATAATCCATTGGGTATTTGGGTGGCCTTTAAGTCTTTATTATAAAGAAAAAGTGCAGATTTTTATGATAGCTTTGTAAAATTATTTGATTAGTATAGAGTTCTAGTTGTAGAAGATCCCAAAGTTTTGAACATATTGAATTTTTTTTTGCCAAATGTCTTAGTCAGCATTATCATCATCAGGGAATGGCTATGACATGAAAATTTTCACAGTGGGATAGATGATTTTGATAGACCTAACCAATATCTTTATTAGGTATACTCACATACATTTATTTACATTATTTTTGTTAATTTTGAAGTTAAGAAATATATATTTGAGGTGCACGCCTTTAATCCCAGCACTCAGGGCCAGCCTTGTCTACAGAGCAAGTTCCAGGACAGGCTCTAAAACAATACAGAGAAACCCTGTCTCAAAAAAAAAAAAAAAAAAAAAAAAAAAAAAAAAAAAAAAGAAAGAAAGAAAAAAAGAAAAGAAAAGACAGAAATATGTGTTTGGCCCTGGGTGTCCTTTTTCTGAATGCTTGCTGTCCTCTTTTCTGTTTTCCAAAGTCTGGTCATCTTTCTGTTGGTTTGCAAAAGCTCTGCATGAGTCACTTTTTTCAGCGCCTAGTTCTTGTTTTTTTTTTTTTTTTTAAATTATCTTTCACTTTTTTGAGGCTCAAGCTGGCTTTGAACTCCCTCTGTAGCTCATGCTGCCAGGAACTCACAGTCCCTCTGCTTAATCTTCCAGAGGGTTAGCATCGCAGTCATGCACAAAGTGTGCATGGTGGGCCTCCTTTTTAAATATAGTTAATACTGTGTCAGATGGAGAAAGATCTCAAATGTGCATCGGCCACCCTGCTTTTAGCTGGGGTTCTGCCTTTAATTAGTCTGTATGGGGGGCAGTCACTTGTTCACTCCTTTTTTTCACCTGTGTAACAAGAGCTGACCTTGGTGCTCCCTAAGGACTCCTTCAGTTGCTGTCATCTAGACTTGGCTCATTTTCTCCCAGTTGGTAGTGTCTGTGGCAGCTGAACACCGAACACTTAATTTCAGTGTGGCTGTAAAAGTTACTGCCCCCACTTTCCTCTGAAAGGTTCTGTAGCCGATGCTTAAAGAGATCCTGTTATGTGGGCCATTTTTATGGAAGCTTAATGAAGGCCGTAAGCCACTTGGCTGTTTTAACCTGCCTAACTGGTGATCCCCAGGCATTCGTACAGGGAATGCACATGCATTGAGAGGCCTTGCCAGGCAGGATAGATAAGAAACACTTTAACTCACAGACCTGGCATTAGAATGAGATCCGATAACACTTGTGGCGGCTATGTTGGGGCTGTTTATTTTTGTGGTTCTTCTGTAAATGGACTTTCCACTCAGAATGGGACTTCCAGGGAAAGTAAAGGTTGTGTCTGAAGGCACTCAGTTACTGAACTGTGGAACAGAGAGCTGATTGTACTTCCAGGAGTCATTCTCAGGCTTTTACTGAGTGGGGTTTGTATGGTTAAAAATACCCAAAGCTAAGACCACTTTCAAACCAAACCACTCAAAAGAGAAACTTCCTGCTTCCTCCAGGTCCCTTACCAAGTGGTTCATGGTCTGTACATTCACGGCTTCTGTGCCAGGCAAATGGTGGAAAATCCTTGATTTAGTTACTTCTTGGATTAAAAATGGCTGACTGTCCCTTGTGCAAATTGCTGGCTTCTAGATGTAGACTGTGAGGCTGAGTGCCTGCTTTAGAGATGGACTGATAATAATAGAGCCAAGAGGCACCAACAAAGTCCTGGGGACACCTTCACCTTCTCTTCCATGCAGGATTCCTTCTACTGTGTTGTCCTTCTACCCACTGAATTTGCTGTCTGACTTTTGCATAAGAACAGGCTCCCTTTTGTGCCTCTGTACCCTGGGGAGTTTCCTAAGAGGAAGGTGTCCAGTGAAGTCAACATCTCAAACAGATTCTGCCCTGTGTCACTCTGAGTGGAGGCAGAGATTAGAATAGGATGCTCAGCATTCCTATGGCTGTGGATGCGCTTGCCTGTGACAAAAAAGGGTTTGTTTTCTACTGAAATAAGATTTGGCATGTGTGTTAGCATGTGTGGTATGTGCGCAAGTGTGTGAGTGTAGGCCAGAGTTGTGTTGGGTGTCTTTTTAAATTGCTAGTCACCTTATATTTTGAAATAACATTTCCCATGAAACCTGTGGACTTCGAGGCTTTGCCAGTCTTCATCACATTCCTCTCACCCCAAGGTTACAGCACTGCACCCAGCTTTTTATTTAGATGCCATGGATCCAAATTCATGTCTTCCTGTTTGCATAGTGAAGGACTTTACCACCTGAGCCATCTCCCCAGCCCCCCCCCCCCCGAAGCCATTCTCTTTTTAAAGTTAAAACAGTAAAGCGTTAATGGAAACAATTTTTTGGTAGTAAATTTAAGATATTTAAATTTCCTAAAAACATTTTAGTCTGGCCGTGTTTGAAAACAATCAGTGGAGTAGAGTGGCCAGGTTTTAGTTGGAGTTGACTGGGAAAATTAAGTCTAACATCTCTGAGAAGATTAGAGTATAATTCATAGTTTGATCTTTCCTTCCTTAGTTGTTCTGATATTGGGATAGGTGTTTTAAAGAAAACATAACTTAGAAGAACTGAGGAGATGGACTTATAAAGTCACTCTTCATGACTTTACAATATACAACTTCTCTTTCTTTTTTTTTCTGTACCTTTGATGTTATATAATACAGGGCATGGGTATTTGAACCTTATTTTTTTAATTGAAAAATTAAAATTACTGACTAATTGTATTGCTCATAGAAACTTTGATTTAGGGGAATTTACCACAACTGGATTATTAAAAACTAAAAATTAAATAAAGACAGGTCTACCTTTCTAATGGCAATTAATGCTAGAATGTTTATAATTCGCTCATTAATGCCAGCATTCTGTCCCTTCATATAAAGTGGGAAGTTGGAGTTTTAGAAAGTAATGAATTGATGTTAGATTTGGTGGTGAGGTGACATCCACAAAGCTTGAGGGACATTAGCTTCATAGTTTGGCATCTGACATTTGCTTCACCTTTCTTTTGAATCAGAGATGATTGCTGACCATCAGATTGAGACGGGCCTATTGAAGCCTGACCTTAAGGATAAGGTCACATACACTTTGCTTCGGAAACACCGGCATCAAACCAAGAAGTCCAACCTTCGGTCCCTGGCTGACATTGGGAAGACTGTCTCCAGTGCAAGTAGGATGTTCACCAACCCTGATAATGGTAATGCCAAGCCGACAGGCTGCTGCTTCCTCTTCATTTTCCATTCATCTTTACTCCATCCCTTCGAATCCTTCCTTCCTCTTCTTTATATGTCTTTTCTCAGGGTCACATGTCATTTCATGATCCTTTTTATACAATTGGGCAGATGTGCAATTTTGCTGGAAGAGTTTCACTGTTGCTGTAGGTTACAAAGCCACAGTGCCTGTCCTCTCTGTGTGTATCTATGCCGATTGACTAACGTGCCTTGTTAACAACTCTTCAGTGAAACAACTGAGGATTTCAGATGGGACAACAAGCTTGCAGAGTATATTGAGTACCTCAGGGAATATGTTTTCAAGATGGTTTGCAGCAACTAGGAGTATTTAATAAGATATAATAAACGCATTAAAATATCACATAACAACATTTTGCTTTAGGATGGTTGTCTCTGTCTAATCTATTAGTGCTCATCTTACCATTGTTTGACTCAATATTATATTTACTACTTGAAAAGGCAGTTGATTTCTTGATAAAAAAATAATCATATTCAGATGGAAGTATAATATTCAAGATGGGATATTAACTCATTATGTAACAATAGGAAAGGTACTATTTTGTTGTTACATTTATTTTATTGCATTTACCAGAGTTTCTTGTAAAGTGTCTATCTTTGGCATCATTCCTTTTGTTGGAAATAGATTTCATGTTTGGATACAGTTTGAGAATAATGAAGCAAGTCGATAAGTGTGGGAAATGAAGATGTGGTGGGCAGAGGCGAGTAAGAATTGGTAGAATGAGCTCTAGACTACCACCATTGTGTCTTCTTGGTACCAAGAAAGTGAGAGAAATTGTAACTCAGTGTAGTCACCTGCACTTTCCCGATCTTATGGAATATGTTCTCAGACACAAAGCAGGTCAAAATCATTGCAGAAAGTGAATGTGATCCCAGCCAATGCATTTCCAGGAATGCCATTTTTTCTCACTTAATACTAAAAGCCAATGGTTTGAAGAAAGATTACTATAAACAAAGTTTCATATTTTTTAACCCAAACTGTCTCTAAAGTAATTAAGATATGAGTGCTTTCAGCAGAACACATTCACAAGAGAGACAGATTCTATTTTAGAATCTTCCTGCTGTAATTGGGTGCTTCTCTGTTACTGGGAGCACTGCTGTCAACAGAGATATCTTGGGTTTTATATGCCCGCTGATTTTTTTTTTTTTGGAAGAAAAGGTTGTTCAGTGGCTGTCAGTGCCATTGCTTGAGCAGGCAGTTGTGATTCATTTTACAAACACTTCATTTTAACCAGTATGTGTATCTGCAACTTTTCTTTTTAAACTCAGGTAATTTCCTTTCTCTCTTTCTCTTTCTCTTTCTCTTTCTCTTTCTCTTTCTCTTTCTCTTTCTCTTTCTCTTTCTCTTTCTCTTTCTCTTTCTCTTTCTCTTGCTCTTGCTCTTTCTCTTTCTTTCTTTCTTTCTTTCTCTCTCTCTCTCTCTCTCTCTCTCTCTCTCTCTCTCATACACACACACACACACACACACACACACATATAAAATCTCCAACCCAATTCCAAGAGATAGAGGTTTTGTTTGCTTTAAAGCACTGTATCAGTAATAGTACATAGAGTTAAAAAAAAATGCACTGTGCTCGCATGTTGCATTGAGGAGTCACTGGCTGCCAGGGTGCTCTCTTCCCAGAAGGCTGAGCTGCCTATTCACGTACTACAGACAGAACAGAAACAAGACATGGGTGAATCTCAGCTGCCAACCTTTTGAAGAAGGTATTTGGGTGGGAGTACAATGAATGAGTTAAGATTGCTCCTTCTACAATGCTTTATCCTCTTAGTAGAACCCCGGACTGCAGAGGAAGATGAACTTGCCTTTATCGTTCGCCTCTCATTTGTGCAGTGCTCTACACACAGGGCAGGAAGCAAATGGGAAAGGGCAGGCGGTTCTTTTTTTGGCTCCTCAAATGAACATCCCACACCCTGAAGCATAGGATATGATTAGTTTGTTTCAAACGTGTTATTGTTGGCTTTTATGTTACCCAACTCTTTAAACAGGCAAGATTTGGCTTTGTGAGAGCCTACATCAATGAGTTACACGTGCCTCCAAGGTACATGATCATAAATCATGGGGTGGCATGGTTTTGGCTTTCTACAGGTGCTTGTTCTTAACCTGCAAGTTTGCACAGTAACTTTTGTGTCTTAGGGCTTAATCATTTAATGTACCTAAGGACTATGTAATGCTTTTGAATAAGCATCTAAAGTAAGGAATTATATACTTATCACTGCTCTTGTAACAAGCAAGAATCATAGGTTGACTGTAGTTGGAGCTGGGCTGCAATATCCTCATGCGAAACCTAGATAAATGTAAATTACCTTAGCCTTAAATATAGATATAGGATCCCATGACAGAGGCTTCTTTGGCTATGCCAGCAACAGCATGACAGATAGCTGAATGGCATAGAAGCCACTTAAGTCAAGGATTGTTTAGTTCTCATTGGTGTCTTAGAGTCAGCTCTCATCTGCTCAGAAGATCCAACTGTGAGGGGAGATTCTGCCAGAAGTGTGTTATATGCAGCTACTGTGAAATCCCATTAGCATTCAATTAAATAATTATAGTAAAAAACTATGGCAATACTCATAATGAAGGGCTTCTTATTTGGTTGATGATGGTTTACTATAATCTGTGCATTCGAAGTGATTTCCGCCTGTGTGTGAGAGTTCCTAAATATGCTAAAATGGGTCTGCTTCTGGTCCCATCACATACTGGGTCCCATTGTTGATTCTGGGGGCTTCAGATGAGCAGCTGGACCCTGCTCTAAGGGCACTCTTCACATTGTAGAGACCAGCAAGTGCTACAAGCCAGGACTTGCCTGATCATTGGTCTAGTTGTTTCTTTTCTCTTTCCTTCCTTCCTTCCTTCTTCCTTCCTTTCTTCCTTCCATCCATCCTTCTTTCTTTCTTTCTGTTCTTTTTTTTCTTTTTTGGTTTTTGTTTTTTTGAGACAGGGTTTCTTTGTGGCTTTGGAGGCTGTCCTGACACTCACAGAAAGCCACCTGCCTCTGCCTCCCAAGTGCTGGGATTAAAGGTGTTCACCACCACCACCACCCTAGTTGTTTCTGAACTTTAAAAAATGATGGAGAAAATACTAACAACGTAGATTAAATGCAAAGCATGTACTTAACTGTATATAGCTTCTAAAACACAAATAATCCCTAGGACTGAAAGGATTTCTTTTTTGGCAGTTAAAACTCCTACTTGATTAGAGAACTGACTGAAACACCACTGACCAGTGAGTAAAGCCTAAAACATCTGTTTATTGTTTTTCTTCTTATTAACAGACATGATATTATAATCACTCAGACTGATTAAACCTTCCCTCCCTCTGGGTCATTATCATGAACTCACTTTTAATTAGTAAACAGTTACTTATTTTTTCTTACCAAAGTATTGGAAAGATAGTGCATTGCATTTTGATGCCTGTAAAACAGAAATAATTAAAAATTCATTGAGATACGTGAGTGCCTAGAATGGTGGCTGACAGTAGTCACTCAACAGATGCGTTCAGGTGTATGTGAGGTGTTTATGCACAACTGTGCAATGTTGATTTCAGAGGAACAGGAATGTCTTCTGGAATGTTTGCTTGGCTAGCTTCTTCTTCAGGGAGAGACTCAGAAATAATTTTATGTATTTCTTCAGGGTTTTTCTGGCAAATGGTGTCAATGCTGGTTGTATAACAATGGGAGGGGTGAGGCCATTTCTCCTCATAGTCTGAACCTTCCTTGCTTTTGCTTACATGGCTATAAGAGGAACCCTGATCCACCCTGGGCATCCAAGGGTAAGGACATGTACTGCAGGAGGCAATGAGGAGTCAGGGAAGGTGTTAGTTCCCAGCAGGGCAGCTAGCTTCTGGGAGTCACACAGCTTTCCTTACATTATCAGTCATGCCCCAGGGCCTCTTCTGTATTTATAGTGACCCAAGACCTTCTGCTCAGCACATCACCAGGTTCAGCTTCAATTTCCTGTCTTTTTCACTCTCTCCTTTATATAGGTGTGCAAATTGTAATCAATGGACCCTTACAACTTGGTGCAGTCCTGGCTTCTGTGTCCAGATTCTTTGTTCAAGGCTTTCTACCAGTCAGGAAGCTGATGTCTTGTTCTTTCCATGTAGCTGCTTTTACATGAGCCCAGAAGAGCCATGTGCCGTTATGGCATACTGGATCTAGGCGGTGGTAACTGTGCAGAGCAACCAACCAGTAGGAAGAAATCACGGATTTTGCTGCTTTTACTGTGGTAGTTCTAGGATCCAGAGAAGTAAAGGTGGGATTAGTCAGGATCTTGCTTTGAATCTGACTTGAGCTTATGTCCACTTGAGCTATGTGGTGTGAATACTAGATCAGGCTGTCTTGACACTGGTGTGAATTAGATCTGACTGGGACTACAGCCAGGCTTGGCAGCTTTCTCGGTCCTTTTAGCAATCTTTTGCTTTTGGTCTGGGCTTTGGATTCTAATTTGCCCAGTCATCTTTAGCTGCATTGTTCTACTTCCCACTCTCCTCCGACATAGTACTGAATACTGGCATGATCCCTCCAGCAATAGCTAGGGTAAGCATTTTCCTAACCTCTCTCAAAGATTCTGCTTGTCTTAAGTAGGCTTCATGTGTCTCTAGTTCTGAGATGGTCAGGTAGCATCTTTTTTCCTTAGGCACATATCTCTTTCTGATGGCATCCTAGGTGCCTTTCTGAATGCAGCCAGATCCTTCCAAAGCCCAGCAGCACAAATCCATCTGTTTGGTTCTGGTCCCTCATTCTCTGTGCATTTGCAAGCACAGATGAATGCCTTGGCCAGAGCTCAATGCAGCAGCAATCTTCCCAACCAGGATGATAAACAAGGCAGTCCATGGAGAGTCGCTAACGAAGTATCTGAATGAAGTCGCCTGCTAATGATAGCAGCTACTGTAGCTATTCCGGGTAATATATTTCTAACTCATCCATAAGGCAACAGTCTTATTGCTTTT